CGACTCACTATCGGACGTGATGAAATTGCAATTTTCTTCCACTGTCTCATCTGACTCAGCTTCCACGTTCGCTACAGTCTTAGAATTGCAGCACTTGGCAAAATGGCCTTTTTTGTTACAGTTCCTGCAAGTAACATTTCTTGCTGGACAACTCTGCTTGTGGTTTGCTGAAAACCTGTTACCACAGAAATAACACGACTTCGATTTCTCGTTGATTCCCTTTTGCTTACTATTCTGTGCCCGACTAATCCTGTCAGAAAGTTTCTTACCCTGGACAGAGAAGGTAGGTTCCTGTTTTATCCGGGAATTCTGACCCAAGATGGCACCTGCCTGGGAGGAATTGCCCGTCAACGACGAACTCCCCAGTTGCCTTTGCAAATCGGTGGCCGTTTGTGCTCCTTTTTCTTGAAGTAACGCAGATTTCAGAGAATCCTCCGGAGTAGCACCTGGATGAATACACAATTCTCTCTGAATATCCTTATATCTCATTTTGGCAATGAAGATATCTCTTACGACTTCCTTTTCTTGATCGATTGTCCACCCACACAGGGCGGCTTGTCCCGTCAAACGCAAATAAAATGCTTCCAAACTTTCTCGGTCGGAATGTACCGCGTTGTACATTTGCATACGTTCGATGATGAAATTTTTCTCCTTTTTGAACAAGAGAACACAGAACTCATGGAAATCCCGAAATGATAATGCGCTCAGATCCGCATGTGGATAACTTTGGAGGAATCTTTTCCTCCCTTCTGAGCCAAGCGAAAAGAATAAACGAGATTTAACACGTTGTTCAACCTCGTAATAATACACTCCGGTGCAACTCTGGGACCTTTCGCCCGGCGCTCTTCATTCATTTCCGTGACTCTTCGGACCGCTGCGTCATTACGTGCAATACGATTTGCAATTGCTGCATCATCTTCATCCGCCCCCACAACTTCTGGTTTTGGAGCAGGATCGTCGTGTACGACACCCGGAGGTTTCAATAATTCGCGTGGATCACATCTCTCTCTCAGAGTGATTGCCAAATTGAATTGACCTATCCACGAATCCCAGCTACAGGGTGGGTCCGCAGTTGGTTTATGCCAAAATACGGATACGCCCAACAGGTCAGTTCGATCCTCTGAGGTCGAAACTGCTGGCTGCGCCATGTGGAATGTGAAAAAACAGTTGTAAAACAAGAATCAATTCTCCTTGTTTTCGTTTATAGTTATGTAAATAATATAGATAGTTTAGTATTTAGATTATGTCATGACAATGAAAATAAATACAACTCAAATCTTTCATAAGTTGCAGAAGAATGAAAAGTAGTGCATAGTAATAATCTATAACGGATTGGCAGGTCGGTCACGACCTTGATAAACAAAAAGGCAAGTTAAGATTAGCACGAATAGCTAGCACATTGATGACGTCACATAAACTATAGATTGCGTCACATCACAACCAGATTGTCCAGACCGTGGAACTTTAGAATCAATACGGAGACAAAGCTGTACTTGGCAAACACAAGCGGCAAAACTCCAAGAAATAGCTTTAAAAACAAAAAGGGTAAGGTAGTGCCATTTGTGGCTGTATAGACAGCCTGTCGGCTCCACCACATGAAGGCGCCAATTCTGCGGCCCCCTAGCCACTCTTTAACTTTTTAACTGTTCCCAGATCACCACTTTTTTAACCCCAAGAGACATGTCGCTTCGTCCGACCGCAGTAGCGACGTTTCTGGTACTCGGTTTGAGAATGCCGGACGGGCCCCCTTGGGCTAAAAAAAAAACAACACCAAATGACGTCTGCGGCAACCCAACCGATACTGCCCAACACAACTGTTGCGCTGACTGACAAATCTTAACACTAGCGACTGATAAAGTGGAGATCACATGCGAACTTGTGAAGCAAAAAAGTTTGAAAAAATTAACCACATTTTATGCAATTTGAATTGGAAAAAAAAATGAACCTTAAGGTACCACAAGGCTCGCAAGCTCGGTTGGTTAAAGAACAGAAATAAAATATACGGGCAACATTATAATTTAAGGTACGAAGAACAAGAGCAGCACAAAAAGACCACATCACAAGAAAATTGTCCGACAACCAGAGATTTCAAACCGAGACGCTGTTGCAATAATTGCAGAGGAAGCAACAACTACAGCAACTTTGCAAGACACCGATCACTGCAAACAAAAAGAAACCAGCCTAAGCATGCCCCTTCAAAAGACAAGACTGATTCACTTCTAAACTTGAGTCAATACAGAAATGACCTTACATATGAACACTAAAGCTGCGAGAGGTAATACTGAAAACCTCCCAGTAAACTTTTGGAGATAACTAATCATGGAGTTAACACCAATCCTGAACAGTTATTTAAACCGTATTGATCCACAAGAGGCTAATAAACGGAGCTTCGACCACAGAGGCAACGCAGAGCTTCGCATCACTTGCGATACAACACAAACATAAAAAAACATTAGACGTACAAAAAACAAAAATTGTTGAAAAACTCGGTCTACTAAGCTTTTCGTATTTCTCAAGGTCTAATAAAATTAGGTCTACTGAAATTTTCGTATTTCTCGATAAAATTTCAATCTAGGCAAACATGCCAAGCAAAACATTTGAATATCAAATTAGCAACGGAACAAACTGACAAGTGGAAACACAGCCGACAATTTTTGAGCAGACACCAGTTGAGCCGAAAAAAGTTGATTTTGTTACAAAGTTTCAAGTCCCCTACAAACACAATGAACAACACTATAATGAACATAGCCAACTGAAAGTTGGAAAAGAGAAATGAACGCAACAAAAGAAACACTTGTTTTGAAAAAATCTCAATTTTCGAAGAAAAAAATAGATGGCCTTAAACTTCTTAGAATTTATAGAACAATTTGTAAAAGCACTTTTCGATAGAGCTATTCCAATTTGAGAAACCTGGATCATTGGGTAAAGTTTTTATTCCGCTAGGAAATCTGATAATTAAATTCAATTTCATCATTAGAAGTCGACCACAATTTTCGTGATTTTTACATTTGATAGTGGAGTTTGCCTTCCTTTTAGCAAAGGAAATGAACTTAACTTAAAAACATGACAAGTCAAACCGCGAAAAAGTAAATTTGAGCCTGAACAAATTTTAAGACTTTTACTGAAAATGAAAAACAAATCATCGCGACCTATATAAGAGTCTAAACAACGTTCAACGAATTAGAAAAACTGGCATGGTATCGGATTCGCACCCTTGATCGTTCGCGACATAGCCCCGCTCCTTACCACCACACTACTGGACCCACATTTTCATGGAAATTTCCTTCGATAAAGCAAGCTATCAAATTATTCAAGTAATTCTGTTAAACTAGTTGTTAACTAGAAAAAAACCTATATTTCAGTTTGATAATGCTTGCTTATCGCAAGCGTTATCATTTGCACTACAAAAAAGAATGACAATGATTACCAGCAAATGAAAAGACAAATCAAAAATTGAAAAAAAAACTTCAAAAAAATTATTTGTCAAAACGTTATAAAATTGCAAAAAGGACGTAACATTTCTGGAAAAAAATACTTGTATCATTGGAAACTTTAAAGAGCTTTCAAAATGCCAAAAAGAAACAGAACCTTTCTGCGGGACCTCAGCCTAAAAAATTTAGAAGACACGAAAGTCTAAAAGAGTCGAAAAATTTCAGTTTCCACAAACAAAAACAGGTCCCGACTGGTATCGAACTTCTGAAAGTTTTACTTTGCACTAAAAGGTTTTTAACTTGAGCAAAAAATGCCTAAACCTTAGGCAAATTTCGTGCTGCGGCAACAAAGCCCAAAAAAGCAGACAAACAGACAAAAAAAACAGGTCCCGGCCGGACTCAAGCTATTGACCTTTGTGTTCAAAGACAAGTGCGTTAGCTCTTCGCCACAGGTACAAAGTAACGTTTGACTTTTGATTCCATTTGAACTAAAGGTAAAGTGGTTCAATCGATTCTGTTAAAACATAGCCAATCGACTTTCTTGAACATAGAACACTGATTTTCTTGAAAAAAATCTCAACTTTGAATTTCAAAGAAAAAATAGATGCCCTTGGAGGTACTAGAACAATTTATGCTTGGAGCTTTTTTGATAACATGAACCTAACTTGAGAAAACTGGATCAATAGGTAAAGTTTTTATTCCGCTGGAAATTTTTAAATTAAATTCCATTTTCGAAATTAGAAATCGTTCACGTTTTTTGCGCCATTTCGATGTTCGCATTTGGAGAGTGCTATTTACGTCACCTTCAGCAGATGAATTTCATTTGAACTCAACGTGTGCATATATACCTAAGTGCATTAAAATTTTAAGAATTTTTCTTGGAAAAAAAAACAAACAAAAAATCAGCAAGACCTATATAAGAGACTTCACTACGTTCATTACTCTTAACTAGTCGTTAACCCAAAAAGTCTATATTCAGGTTGGATAACGCTTGCTAATTCGGCAGAGTAAATATAAGGCCGAAATACGTAAGCAATTTATTCGACTGAACTGGCAGACCAACACACGTGAATATCGGTAAATGGACTAACCCCTTTCGCTTACCTGAACATCTTCAGCTTATTTAACATGTATGCGCAGGAGATCTAAGCTCTCTTCAAGAAATCATATGCATAACGGAAGAGTACGTCCTCGCAACAAAAAAGCACAACAAAAAAATGCGGAAACAATTAGGACGAAGCCCAGTGTAAAAACGAAGCTAAGTATCTCGAGTCAATGCCCTGCCCTACCTGTTCTGTTGAGGGACAACAACACTGGACAAGCAAAACAAAACAAACGAACCAATTTGCGTTAAGAGACTAGGAGGCTAAAACAACAAACATTTAATCGGTCAAAAAACGATGCTTTTTAGGTTAATTAGATTTTTAACATAGTTTCTACAAAAATGAGGAAAATGAATGAAAATTTGATTTCCGACGTCAAATTGAGCCGTTAACTAACTTCGTTGAGACTCACTGAACGAAATTGACAGTGGCAGCAATTAGGTATTAACAATGTATTTTATCTCACCTAATCTGTATTCCTCCTGTTGGTACATGACCAACATGCACTGCTCCAAACTAGCCACCACCTTCCTACTCATCTCACTCACATCTCCCAACTGGCGCAACAGATTCACACTCTCACAAGTCAGGCCTCTGTTCTTCTTTAGTCTCCCATTGCACACTGCAGGTTCAGGGATCGAATCCAGGCCGGATCCGTGGTTGAGAATGTGACTCGGTCCCGGACTAGTCGAAGTGGAGTACGTAGTGTATCTGCAAGTTTTTAAAAATTACCTTGAGAATTGTTTCATTCGATGATGCTTTCAAAGACATTAAAGAAAAGTTGGAAAAGAGTCAATGAACGCAAGTAAACAGAAAAAAATTACTGACTTGTTTTTGAAAATCTCAACTTACGAATTTCCAAGAAAAAAAATACATGGCCTTAAAGCGCTTTGAATTTCTAGAACAATTTATGAAAACATTTTTTTAAAATTAAATTAACCCAATTTGAGAAATTTAGAACAATCGGTAAAATTTCTGTATCGCTGGGAAATCTGATAATTGAATCCATTTTCAAAATTAGAAGCCGATCATGTTTTTGGTGACCTTTACACTTCCGCTGTTGGCCTTTTTAACGAATGAAATGAGCTGAACTTAAAAAAAAATCAAAAGCCAAACCGCGAAAAAGTATACTTGAGACTGAAAAAAAAACCTGAAAAAAATTACTGAAATCAGCGACGCTTAATAAAACACTGGATCTAGTTTGTGACTAAAAATCTTGTCTTCCAAAGCTTATTTGCTTGTATTATAAAAAGTATTTACATATGAAGCCTTGGACTCCAACGATTATCACTCTTGATCTCTGTAAGCGTTTATTTCAAAACAACTTTCGATTTCGAAAAAAAAATTCACCCATTGGAAAGGTTGCTCTGCATCCCAGATGATATGTCACATTCAATCAACTCCTCCAGTTCTGGAATCATCACTGGGGAGTCCGGATTTACCGGAGGGTGTTTCTCACAGTTCATTTCCAGAGCAGCTGCTGTGGCTACTACCTCAGACACTTGGGAGGACAGCATCTTGACTAGAGATTGTGAACTGAGAAGTGAGTCCCGAACACTACCTGAACAAGAATCACCAGAACAATTAGACCATTGGTCAGAAAGAGAGAAGAGAAATTCACGAAAGTATCATACTTGTACCAGAAGTAAACATGGTCAACAGGCAGTTGGAAAAGAATTGAAAAGAGTCGAACAAAAAAAGCTCTTAAGCACTTGGAATATTGAGTACAATTTATGAGTGACATTTTTTTTTGAAAAATTAACACAATTTGATAAAACAGAATCTAAAGGTAATTTTTACATTCCTCTGGGAAAACTGAAAACTAAATCCTATTTCGAATTAGAATTCGATCATTTTTTTTGTGAATTTAACACTTTCGCTGTTTGATAATGGAGTTCGCCTTCATTTTAACGAAAGAAATAAATTGAAACTAGCATGCAACGCACATGCGGTGCTTCGAACTTTAAACAATTCAAAAAAAAACGCATATATTCGAACAAGATCTGTATTCTTTGAGTGTACTCTGACACTCCCCGTTTCAAATTTTGTAAAGCTAATTTTCATTCAAACTTTTTTAATTCAAATTTCGAAAAATGTAAGTTATTTGAAAAGTTTTAAAATGAATTGGGAAATGTCTCATCTCGGAAGTTAAAAGCAAATAAGCAGTCGCATTTGAGCACAAGATTTGCAACTCTTGAGAGTACTCTACAGTAACCAACTGCAGCGTTGGGAATTTCAATTTTTGCAAAAAAAATTAATTTTCAATTTTTCTGAAAAACTCATGAAAAACGTCATAAACGGTGCAACGACAAAGATTTGAGCAGTCATATTTGGAGGCAGGATTCGCAACCCAGAGAAAACCCTGACAGCGCTCAACTACAGGGTCAAGAATTTCACGTTTTGAAAAAAAAATAAATTAAAAGAAAAATTTGCAACTCCTTGGAGTAGCCTGACAGAGCCTCCTTATAGAGATGGGAACTTCAAATTTTGTGAAGTTTTTTTATATCTCACTGCTTGGAACTATTTTTCAAAAAAAGATCCAAACGTCACATCTCGGAAACTGAGAGCATTTGAGCAGTCGCATTTGGACGCAAGATTTGCAATTTGGAACTTCTAAGAGTACCCTCACAGTGCCCAACTACAAGGTTGAGAAACTCAACTTCATTGAATTTTTTTAAACCCAAGTTTTCTGAAAAAATAAAAGTAAATCATAAAACACGTCATATCTCGAAACTAAAGGATTTGAGCAGTCATATTTGTAGGCAAGATTCGCAATCGTTATGAGCACTCTGACAACACCCAACTACACCCGAATGGGCAAAGCAAACACTGATTTCCAACTGGAAACTCGAAAAAAAAATCTTAATCATTGCAATATACGGTATAGATTAAAGTTAAACATTAAAGTTCTTTCGTTAAACATGCAAAAATAATAAGTTGAAAAAGCTTAAACGTGGCGAGATAGTGAAGCCCGCTTTTAAATATAAAAAAGATTAAAAAAGAAATCAAACGTCGATCAGCGAAAAATCAATTTTGAGCGTGAGCAAATTTTAAGATTTTCACTGTGAAAAAAGCGAAACAATATGACGTCCTATATAAGCGTCTTCACTACGTTCATTGACACGATTTAGATTGATAACTTTTGATATATCTTAGAAACATGCATTTAAGACCAAAACTAATTTTTAGATCATAAACACGTTAGTGCAAAAACAAGCTAAGATCACACTAGTTTCAATCGGACACAGCGATAGCTTACACTTGAACCAAAAACACAAGAGAAAGTATCTCTTAAAATTATTATTCGACTATGAAAACTAACTGATCGGAAACACTTTTTCATTTGCTCCCACTGTCCAATTCAGCTTCGGCTTCGACCCTTTCTTCTGATATGCAGCATAGCTCGCAGCATCAAACTCCGATGCCTTGTGATACATCCTGCCTGCATAGTCAATGTGGATTTGCAAAGCTGTCAGCCATTTCTGCCTTAGCGCTGTATCTGCTGTGCGGTCAACTCCACTTGATATGCTCCAATATTGCTTACTTCTGTCTTGAAGTTTAATCACAAGCAGATTGTAGTTAGGCGAGTCTATTTTGACTGATGCTCCGCGCAGAAAGATGTATCCCTTAAAAAATTTAAACCATATTTTAACTACACATTTTAACTCATAGAGGATTGAATTACTTTTTGATATCTAGAAATTTCGAAAACTTTTACTTGCTTCCAAATAAAAAACTTATCACTACCAACCGTCACGTACTGCAAAACCACAAACCAATCTATGGTTACCAAAACTTCTTAGAAGAACTTGGTATAAATATAATTGAAAGCTTATAAGTAGGATCAAAACAACTATTACCTTCCGATTTAAGCTATTGGCTGAATCTTCCTTTCTGTTATAGAAAGCAGCAATTCCTCGACTGAGTACAACCCAATATCTTTTCACCAGGAACATGCCTTTCTTTAAAACTTCCCCCTCGAACCTCTGTACATCTTTGACTACTTTTTGCACCGGTTTCAGTCCAAGAAGCCGCTTCATAGAATGACGCATAGTCAAGTCATTGGGTTTCAAGTTGTAATTGTTAACAGCTGCCGGGTTAGCACCATTTTGTAGAAGGATAACAGCTGCTTCGTTTTTATTCAGATTGGCCGCTATATGTAGAGGGGTATTGCCGCTGATATCTTTACAGTTGATTGAAGGTGGAAATTCACCCTAGCACACAAGTTACAATTCAACTTAGGCTACCCTTTACGAACAATATTATGAGGTAAATAAAATACGCACGTTTAGAATATCAATAATTTTGTCGGCGTTGTTTTCTCTCACAGCTTTGAACAATTTCTCCTGTTGACCAATCATGAAACATTTTTCGGCTTGTTGAATTAGTTTATATGATTCATCCATGTTGTCTGCCATCAGTTTTGGAGTTTTGCCTTCGTTATTGACAATTTGCACACTGGCCCCAGAAGTAAGGAGCTCCAATACTATCTCACTTCTCTTGGTAAAAGCAGCCAAATGTAAAGCTGTATTCGCCTTATCATTTTGATAATCAATTTCTGCACCGTGAGAAATTAGGAATTTCACCATTTTCATATGACCGAAATAGCTAGAAAGCTGGAGAGCGCTCCAACTTTTTGTTGTCTTCGTGTCGCCTGGAAGGTTGATCACATGGTTCCATTTGGATTTCGGGATTTCATCTAACGCCTTTTCCGCTTCCTCGACATTTCCTTGACGAGCAGCCGCCAAAAACTCTTGACATGTGCTTTGAAAATAAATACTTGTCATGTGAGATAATAAGCCCCATTTAACAATTCATTTCAATCTTAAATAAAATCTTTGTTTATTCCAATTTACTTTAAGCACGGAGAAGACACTTTAAACAAAGCATTTAAAGCTAGCAGGGTGACTTCTCATAGGTCCCAATATTCATAGCTCCCAAAAAAATCAGTCGCAGAAGTCCCAAACTTATCTTCTTGCATTCTGATTGGTTGAAACTTGAGCCAACGAATTTATGGATTGATTGTTTACTGTTCAAAGCATAAACTAAAGCTGCAGAATAGTCACCCCCGCAGCCGCGCCACCGTGTTGCAAGCTTGCCAACAGAGGGTAGGACTCTATACGAAATTTAGAGCCGGTTATCGCCGCAAAGCGCCCACCAACGACCTTAAACCGGGACTTGGCTTATTAAGTCTTTTGAATGATGGAAAAGATTCGGGACTAATGCGACTACTTTATTTAGGGACCCATGGGACTGATTTTTCATCTAAGAGAGAGAGAGAGAGAGAGAGAGAGAGAGAGAGAGTTTAGGCTTCTGTGTTTTACACAAGAGTTTGAACCCATCACTTGACGGGTGAGCTGACTTTCTGCACCGGGTTACAATGTCCAGTTGCATATAAAAGCACAGAAACATAAGTTGACTTCAGAGTAATTGTGACATTCGACCAGAATGGACCAAAATACAGATTCAGCATATTCGAGTTATTAACAGAGAACCTTCCGAATTGACGGTTTTAAGCGATTAACGACATTATTGGGACGATTAGTCAGCTCCCTGCTCCTGAACTCCTCGCGCGTGTTAATTCTGGGGCGTTCTTTCCAAATATGTAAGGCCTCCAGAGTGAGGAGTTTCTGTATGTTACTTGATTGATCTATAATCTCAGACTTAAGCTCAGCGCTCTTACCATCCCTGTCACATTCTCTCAAATGTTGCCCTACTGGCGAACCTTCCTTGTGATGCTCTTCAATCCGCGTGGTCAAATACCGGACCGTTTGTCCAACATAGGTGGAATTACATCCACTACATGTGAGCTTTTAGACCACTCCGGATTTCAAATCTTTCGCAAAGGGAGCTTTAAGGGACGGTAGGCAAGTCTTGAGCTTTCTCGTAGTAAATATCACTTGGGCTCCGGCGTTTTGACGCAGTTTGGCAGCAAACCACTCCGATGCATTACCCCGGTATTGTAATGTTATAATGGGTGCACTGACCTTTAAAGGATCTTCCTTGACTGATGTTACCGTTGTTCGTGTGTCAGTTTTTCGGTCGATGATCTTATTCAACGTTCTTAATACGACACCATCTGACCATTTTTCAGGGTATTGATTATCCACCCACTGTTCTTTATTAATCTTCATTGCCTTGTCAAAGTTTTCCCATGTTGATGTACTTCTAAAAATCCGATGAACAGTACCCTCAACTACATTGCGTTTATATTGCAATGGAGCGCAGCTTCTGAAGTTAAGGATAGTCCCAGTATCCGTTGGTTTTTGATACCATCCACATGTTACCTTTTTTCGTGAGTCCACATTAATGTTCAAATCTAGAAAGGCTAAGTCTCCGTTCGAATCCGGATTTTCGATAGTGAATTGTAAGTTGGGGTGGAGCTCATTAGCTGCTTTTAACACTATATCTGGATCCCCCTTTACCGTCCTCACTATATCATCTACATATCTTAGGAACGCTTTGACATTTTCTGTTGGTTTTTCTTGATCTCGCTGCTCTTTACATCTCTTACAATACCAAACCATTTCTGAGATTTGCTCATATTCTTTGTCGGATACATTACTACACTTTAAATGGTACCGATTTAAACAAGCTCCGCATTCGATCCCCTTACTTCTGTATGTTACCCTCCGCTCGCAATCAGGGCATAGGCCATTCCGGTTTTCATTTAGCTGTGTCAACGCAGGTACTTCCTTCATTAATGCATATTCGTACTCCTTTAGCCATAAATTGGCAAGAATGACAGCAAGGGATGCACCCATTGCCAACCCATCCTTTTGTACGTACCATAAACCATTGCATTTGAAGTGCACCTTACTTACAGCCATGTTCAACAATTTCTTCATAGTTCCGCGTGCCAGTTTAGGAGGACTAGTTTGTTCGTACAGTTTCCTCAGTGCTATATCTATTGCCTCCTTTAGTGGGACATTCGTGTACAAACTTTTGACATCCAGGGAGATAATACGCTCATTATAGTCTAGATCTATGTTCTCTATGATATCCCGAGCCATTTGTGTGTTTGTCTCAATGTTTGCCCCCTCAATGTTGTCAAAAAATTTGGCCAAAGTTTTATTTAGATGTTCATATGAGCTCCCTGGCAGAAACAGTACGGGACGGAGAGGGGTTCCTTTCTTATGTACTTTAGCCAATCCATATAATCGAGCTGGCTGCCCTCCCGTGGACCTAAGCCTACTATACAGTGCCTCATCGATCTCATCTTTCTTTTTCATGGCCAACAGTTCTTTGTTGATGTCTTTCTCAATTTTCATAACAACACTATCAGTTAAACCTGGTTTTTCGCTAAATTGTTCCGATTGCAGCAGCTCAGTTAGCTTAGCCTCATATGTCGTTTTCTTCATTACACAGAAGCCAACACCTTTATCGAATGGGACTGCCAAGAGACCATTGTCCTTCAAATACTTCCTGGCTTTCTCAATCCCTCTATCCGACGGTGTTTGCCGCACACGTTTAGCGTATGATTTTGCAGCAGCTTCAATTTCACATAATTTTTCACCTGGTACCTTTTGCGATTTAAGCTCAGATAAAAAATTATCAATGTCCGCAAGAAAGTGAAGTTCATTGAAACGATCCCTCACCGGGTGCTTTGGGCCAAAACCTAACACTTCATGAACCCACTTGGGTAGCTCAATGCCATCTAGTGCTCTGACCGATTTGTCATTCACTTTCATTAACGGTCTGTCCTGCCGCTCTGCTAGCTTTTTTAACTTCTTTTCATGTCTATCCTTGATGTCATGGATAGCAATTCTAGCCTGGAGCTTTAGATAAAATGCTATTGAGGGCCACCATTGTTCATCTATCCCTCTCCGCACTACCTCTCTTGCCTTAGCTAGATCATCGTCTATCTTCTTCTCTTCTGACCTTGCCTGATTTATCTCTGTTCTTAGGAGTTTTAATTGAAAGCTATGCACCGCTTGGTCCGAAAAAACCCCATTTTCTGGCACCCGAAATCTCAAAAAATCTGGTATTATGTCATTGCTTTGACATTTCCGTAAAAACTTCAATCGATGGAAATTGTTGTTTAATTTATTTGAATACTTCAGATAATTCAAAACTAATTTCCAAGTTTTTTTTTTCTGAGTATCCATCTCAGCATCGGTGGGGGCAAAACTACGGCGGTCATTATCCTGCAGGCCACGAGCACTTAAACTCATGCGGCTCTCAGCAGGATAATTCACTCAGTAGATTCACTTACCCAATCTGCGCCCTTTCAGCCGATGGTAGAGAGACGTCAGTCGTTGTTTCCTCTCTGCGTGCCTTCGCCTTGCGTCGTCCTTGTGATGGTTTCTGAGTCCGCGCTCTTATCTTTGAGAATATCCCGGGCAAGTTCTCTCTATGTGTCAGCACAACTCGCAATGACTTCAACTCAAGTTCGCTCGATTGATGAACTTCCAGGTATTGTCTCACCAAAGCGGGATCCTGCCTCTTGCCTCTCGAGATCAATAATTCCTGGCAGTGACCTCTCCGTCCCGTACTGTCACTGCCAGGGAGCTCATATGAACACCTAAATAAAACTTTGGCCAAATTTTTTGACAACATTGAGGGGGCAAACATTGAGACAAACACACAAATGGCTCGGGAGATCATAGAGAACATAGATCTAGACTATAATGAGAGTATTATCTCCCTGGATGTCAAAAGTTTGTACACGAATGTCCCACTAAAGGAGGCAATAAGAACCTTATTTCCCCGGATTCAGGAATCCGGAGGGGTCTCGGGACTGGAACTTTTATTAACTTATATAAACTTTTAGCTTCCCTGTCATGTCCTGAGTTGAATTTAATTAACATCTGAATTCATTTTGCTAGGATGAGAAGCTAGGAGTTGGGGGAAAGGGTTGATCCATCTTCGATGAAGCTGATGATTTTTATCTACTGAACTGTAACAGTCGCCTACTTCGGTCACATATGAGGCTTAAGAAAAATAGGCCCTATAACCATTGGCTCAAGAGTCAGGGACACTATCTCTTGTGTTTTTCTACCTCAAGAACGGTCGGAGCCAATTCGGTTCGCTTGCGACATGAGACTAGAATCCGTTACAGCTTAAAGGCTACTACCAAAAAATCCCCCCACTCTAGAAAGTAAGAACGTCCCCATACTTAGGTCTCGAAATACCCAAAACACGCAAACGCCGTTAAAAACAGGGTCGGAACAATCCGTTAACTTACTTTTTATTGGACAGTGGAACTTTGATCCATTTCAGATGGATCAACCTAAAACTCGCCTTATCTCAACATAACAATCATAAAACACACTCGAGAAAAATAAATTGGGGACTCACATGTTAATGCACTCGAGCACAAGGAGTAATTAAATTGGTAAGCAACTCAAGAATCAGATAATATAACTAGATAAGTTTAATGCTGGTCAGTTTTGGTAACAGAAGTAAGTTCTGGCTCTAGAATTTGAGTTTTTGTATGAACCATTGGGACACTCAAGCTGTCCACCTTTCCATTGAAGGTTCACTCTAGTTTGTTCCGAATTCTTTTTATTATCTCTCCTCCTATTTCGGGATAAGACAGCTCTACTCGTGTATTATTTTGTATCGGGAAATTGCGAATAGCAATTTCCTGCTGTTTTTCTTGCGTATTTTCCCGCAATTGTAAATTCGGTCGTTCTGATCTTTCACTTTGTGTTTTCAGATGGTACGAGAAAACTGAGCATGACAGGCTCTAATCGAAATTTTGAAACTTAATATTCCACTCCAAAATTACGTATTTTCGTGTCTCTCAAGGTCAAACTTCCAAACGTGACCGACTGGCACATACTCCCCGGACTCAAGATCGATGTCCTCATTGCGT